ATAGTGATGCAGCAATGAATCCAAATTATATATATATTTCATATATTTGAAATTTTCTTTATAGTAAATCCAATAGTCAATATTTAACACTACATAAAATGACACTGGCAAAGATACCCTAATACACACACATACGCCTACCTACATATGCATATATATAATGACATTGCATTTTATTTTAACTATATTAATGAACCTTATATTGAAAATAAAACTTAAGAGTTTTGGAAGTACAATTGTGTAAGGGGCATAAAAGCAGGGCACAATGAATATTGATAAGATTAAGAAACATCAACAAATGTCTTCCTCTAAATTTACCTGTGGATTCAGAATGACACTGATAAGTTCATTGGCTAGTCACAGGGCAGTTCCTAGATGAAGAAGTATGAAGAGGCTTTTCTTCAGATAGGTGGAGCTTTGAATTTCTGCTGGTGGGCCCCTCCCCCCTAGGTCACTCCCCATACACCCCTGCATTCGCAGACCCCTGACTCTAGCTCACCTGGTGCTCAAGGTTAGTTGCATCTGTTTTGCTCAGCCTGGGTCATGTGTTGATAAGCACTCTGCTCTCTGTGAAAGCAAACTTCAAAGTGAAAGTTAGGTTTTCTATCTTTTCCATTTGTGCTTTTGGACCTGAAAGCAGTTTAACCGTTTAGCTGGGGCTTCCCTGATAATGTCATTCTTCTACTTGCTCAGGCCATACAGCCTCGCCATCTTCCTCTGCCCTGCTTTTTCCTCATTGCCCCATGAAATCAGTGAAGGAATAAATTTAGCTGAATATCCAATCATATTAAAAACAACACTTCTTGATCCCTGAAAAACCTAAGTCAATTAATATCATGCACCAAGGACCTCTCTTGCAGCTGGGGTTCTCTGAACAAACACTCAGGCTGAATTTGGGCTGAAAAATGATCTTTACCCGTGAATGGAAGTGGCAGAAACAGAATTGAGAAGAGGGTCTGATGTCACAAAATTCACAATTTCTTTCAGTAAATTAATATTTCTTCTTATTCTGCCATGGTGGAAAAAATGGCTTGGATTTATGGATTGATTATTGGCAAAAGACAAGGTCTGTGAACTCTGTGGCTGGCACATCCTTGGATCTTATTAATCCCCTCTGAAGACACATATGGTTCATCTTTTCCTACTTTGCAAGTCCATGCCTATAGACTTTGTATTCCTTATTCCAGCATATTCTTTGGCATTGTTTGTCCTTAGGGTTTCAATTTCTATCCTCTGCACAACTTATTGAAATTCCCTCATGTGTACATGTGGTTGATCCATGCCATTACCTGAGGATGCTGATTTTTTCAGTGTGTACATCTAATGAGATTGGTGAACAACTACTATGTGAAGTACAAATAAATCATGTTGCTGTTAGGTTGAAACTCATCCCTCTATGATAACACAACTCTATCTTTTTGTTCATTTCTTTTTGGAGACAGATATTATAGGAAATATGGCTGCAGAGAACCACAAAGGAATGATCTTCTAGAACATACAGAGTGCTAAAGAAGAACGGCACTGCTTCAATAAAGAGGACCACTGAAACTGTTCACATGCAGATTCTTAAAAGCATCAACCAAGATACTTTTCTCTTCCATTCTTAACTCAAATATCAAATTTTAATGTCTGGGTAGAATATTTAGAATTTTGTCCTATTTATCACCTAGTAAAAATAAAATTGAGTTGAATATGAAAAACAAAGTCCCAACTCATTGTTAGCCACATGTTGATTGTGAATCTTCACAATTCAGGGATTCACTTTTTCCCACATCTCTTAAATCACTTAAGCCGGATAGTGGAGTCTTCTTTTCCTGTCTTACAGGGCTGTAAATATTTATTAATGAGCTATTTTATCCAGAAAATTATTTGATCTTTTATATAATTTCTTATACACACTACCCATAGATTCTATTAGGGTTTGAGACTCACAAGCCTAGAGTTAGCAAAGCTATTGAGATTTTTTTTCTCTTTTTTTTTTGACATTCCAATGTTGTATGTAAATTTCTGTTTTAAAAGCATGATTAGACATTTCTCCAATGTAATCTATAGTTATTTTGGTATATTTTTCATAAGTATACTTTATGAGATTAAGAAAGATTTAAATAATATGCCTCAATCAATGAAAAATTCTCTACACTAAGGCCTCTCTGGTGGCACAGGCGGTTGAGCGTTGCACTGTGAAGCTCTCTGCAGCCTCTGCAGGGCGGGTTTGATCCCTGCCGCCCCGGCGAGAATCCCACATGGCGTGGCAGACCTCTCCTGTCTCGCCTGCTGCTCCTCTAAGCAGTGTGTTTCGTCAGTCTGCCTGTTCTGTTCCCCACTCTGTCTCTGGTGAGTTTTCTCACCCTCCCGCCCATCTGGCCTGTACCCCAGCTCTTGTATAAATAAAATAAATCTTTAAAAAAAAATTCCCTACACTAGAAATAACTTCTAAAAAGTACAATTAATGGAAGACACTAATATATGAAAATATATTAGTGAAATATATGAAAACATGCAAGATATTTTGGGGAAATTATGAAACTATTAAGTGGTATTAAAGAATAACTATATAGATGGTATAACACGGTGATTTATTATATAAGCTAGTACTGAGGAGTACAAATGTTCTATAAATCCAATGCAATGCTTATGGTTGTTTCTAAGAGAAAGATTCTTGAGTGGCAAGGAAGCAATGGAGTGAGCCTGACAGGCAGGTGAGGAGGGTCAGTCGAAGTGGGGGCAATTAGTTGCTATTTATTTATATTCCTCCTGTCTCCTTTGATTCCAATCCAACATGCTGAGTAGTTAGGACTTATCATTCTAATAATACAGAAACTAATCACTGAGTCCCAGCAAGAAAAAAACAAGATATGTGTCCTACATCCTACAGCGCCAAATAAGACACGAGAACTTAAGGATCCCAAGCAGGTGCACTTCCTCTTTACAGAAAGGAGGCGGTGAAAAAAGACACCATCTGCCTACTTCTGTCTGTCAAGCTTTCTTTTCTCTTCCTGGTTCCTCCTGTGATGACTCTCCACTGCCTGGGCTGACACAAAGGACAGAGATTCCTGTAGAAATCACCCAGAAAAGGGGAAGCACAATGGTTAGGATCTTATTTCTGGTCTAGAGAGAGTGCCAATTCCAAATCTGCCACAGTTAATATTTTACCCCCATGACCATGACGACCAACACAGTGCCTGCCTGAAAATGTTTTTCTCTTTTTACATTTCTTAAGCCTTTTAATTTTGTTAAATATTTTTAATTGAAATAACATTGTATTATTACAGAATATAAGTTAAAGATGACTTTGCTGCTAAAAAGGGGGGGAATTAAAAGCCATTTTATACAAACTGACCTAATGTCCCATCTGACCCTCGGAGGAAGTGGAACCTGAGGGTCCCCCACTGTGTGGGCTTCTGTTCTCACGGATGGCTCAGTTTCACCTCAGTTGTTCGGCTATGCTGCTGCTGTTCTCTCAGTCACTATCATTTCTAAGTGGGGAAACTGAGATTTCTGAGAAAACTTGTCCAAGAAAATAAAATTAGAAAATGGAAAAGTGGGAGATTCATTGAATTTCTGAGTTAATAATTAAATATTTGACTTGTCAAAATAAAACTGAAGTGAACCCACACAGTAAATGGGACATCATGCACCAGTGGGTTTGCTAGAATGTTGGGCAAAGGGAGTTTGAACATCTTTTTAATGTCTCACCATGTACCACTTCTCTTAAATCCCCTGGGATTACAGGCAGACTCGAAAACAAAGAGCCTCAAATGCCAGTGAAAGAAACTCAATATTCACATGGGAAACTCAGACACAGGGAAGGATGATGACTGAAAGCAATTAATGAGTCAAGGCAATGGACCATTCAGGGCAATTAATGTACACGTAATTCAAATCTAAATCTGAATTATCTTCTAATACCAACTTCAGTTCATAATGCTTTATTTCCCATCACAGGATGCAACTTCACATTTTCAGACATTCTAAATTTTTGTACGTAACAGAATGCAGTCATGGATTTTTCTTTCTTTAGGAGCAGTGAGGAAGACACATAATATTAGCAGGCAGACCAAGGGGTACCCCAGGATCCCCAAACTTGCATGCTTAAAAAGATTCTGCCATCTGCCTCATAAAGACAAAACATACTCTTAGTGAGAAAGGTCTTTACTAGAATTAATGTGCACAGAGCGAGGATAATAATTTACCACTGAAACACCAACAGTTATACATCCCCTCCTGAGTAAATGTCCAACAAAACAGGGTTGGCCTGAAGTGGGGTTGCTGGGACCTGAAATTTTGCCACAAGTCTAAGGCACCTTCTGGCAGAGAACCATACAAAAAGGAGCAGGAAGGACCAGGCAAGTCTGGGATGAAAGGAGCAAAATCAAAATATAAGTCAAGGTAAAGGCTGCCATTGTCAGCATCTGCATGTATCTCTCACCTACTTGGAAGAGTCCAAGTGTCTCCACGTGTCTTGACTTGTGCCTCTTCCAAGTCCCCCATGTCCCTGCACAAGCCCCAAGCGACAAGCAAGCAGACCCGTCTTCTCCTTGTGTCTCTCTCTGATTTTCTCCAAGTGTCTTCCCTTCTGTATCTCTTCTGTGTCCAAGAATCCCCCTCTGTCCAGCTCCACCCTCATTTAGTTGGGCAGGGAGCATAGAGCCTCCATTTTTTATGGGGATGCCTTTGTGACAATAGCAGCCCCTTCATCATCCTAGTGATCATATGCAATAACTTTCTTATGATTATCCTCAACTCAAAATGTACATCTCTGATGACAACCATGGAATATGAATCAAAATACTTCTTAGACACCTAGTATTTAACTTACAATTTTTAGCAGATCTGTCCCGGCTACCTTTAAGAAAAACTTTTATTGCATTAATTTGTTTTCCTTTTTTGATGAGGAACCTGATCTCCAGTATTTGATAACACCATAAATTTCAAGTGTACAATATGATTTTTCACTAATGCATATATTTTGGCATCACTTACTTAACAGATACGTGAACATTTATCAAAGGTCCTTGAAATTGTGTTATTTGGCATTATGGGAAGTTATGCCTAATTCTTCCATTCTGTGAGCATATTGGGTCTCCTTAGCTGCCAGTCGTTTCCAAGAGATCTTTGCCTTTTCTTTTCTGGTTCCCTTCTTCATAAACCTGTTTATGGACTCAAAGAAGCAAAACGTAAGCACACGTGTGGCCATATGGATCCAGGAAAAACTCAAGAATATTAGGTTTGAATTGTGCTATAAAACAGTTTATACCACTCTTACACATGCATTCGGTCTCTTCAATGTCTTTCTGAGGAAGGAGCACCAAATTAGCATTTTTCTTGTAAGTGTTCTGCTTCCCACTCTGTCTCTGATGAATCCTCTCACCCCGATACCTCTGGCCTATACCCCAATTCTTGTTTTCATAAATAAATAAAAATAAATCTTTAAAAAAATATATTATGTCATCCCTGTTTGCTTAGAGCACTGACATACGATGGATGCAGAACAAAATGAGGCTCTGAGACTTCCTGGTCTTGCTCAAGCCATGCAGTTCCTTAGAAGCAGATATACCATTAAATCCAACGAGTCTTTTTACTTCTAATTCTGTGCTCATTTTCTGAAAACCGTAAAATTACTATTTCCTACTCAGTTGGGACCACTAGTCCATAAGAGAGGAGGCTATTAAACAAAAAATATTAGTTTCATCTTTACATGAAAACTGAGATTGAAAGTTAGCACTCTGGCTGGAAGCGTCTGTCTGGCTGCAAACTCTGTCTGCCCAAACTTTACCCTTTGTCTCAGCACTGTCTCAGCACTGAGGACACCGGCTTCTTCTTCATAGCACATTCTTAAAGAAGTTCTCTATAATTTTTAACAAAATTAACTTACTTTTCAGTGGTGTGTTTATGTCATCCAAAGTGACTGATGTCCTCTAAGCTACAAAAGCTAAAGTGAGAGCATAGACTAGGACAAAATGCACCCATCTTATATCAAGCAGGGATGAAATAATATATATATATATATTTTAAAGATTTATTTTTATTTATTTATGCATACAAGAATTGGGGTATAGGCCAGAGATATAGGGGTGAGAGGATTCATCAGAGACTGAGCGGGGAGCAGAACAGGTGGATTTGCTGAGATACACTGCTGAGGGGAGCAGCAGATAAGACATGAGAGGTCTGCTGCGCCATGTGGGTCAGTTCCCTGGCCAGGAAACAGAACTCATGCCACAGTGGCTGGTGATAGCTTGATAGCACTGAGACTTTAACCCCTACACCACCAGGGAGGCCCTGCAATAATATTTTTTGGAAACATGGATAATTTGAGATGATAATGGCACACTACACACACATAGTGTACATAGAATAAATTTTATCTTAAGGAAAAACTTGGTATTTTGCTTTGGTAATAACCAAGCAAGATGAGAATTTTGTAGGTTCTATATTCATGTCCTTACATATATTGCACATGCAATTTTCTTATATATAAACTTAGCTATATATAAACATAACCAGATATTCCTTTTTCAATTATTAACCTATTAAACCATATGTAATAAATGTTAGGGAATTGTTATTATAGTAATGCTAAGTTGTCTCATAATTATACAAACTAGCTTCAGACAAAAGGGCTACAATTGCTCTTACCTCTTCTCCAAGTCCATGATGGTATCAGGAAGTGGAAGATTAAAGGTCTCAGGCAGAATGTAAATGCATATAAGGGCTATTATGGGGGCAAATCCATAAAGAATCATGGGCAAATGTACGAAATATCTTCTAGTTAAAAGGACTAGAGCAGATAATGCTGCTGCTAGTCTGGTAACAGATCCATAAATGCCAGTTAGAGTTGTCCTTCAAAGAAAGAAGACATTTCTTTAAAAAATTTGAACCTGTGATTTCTATCCTTTCTTCAAGTTCAAGCCCATCTACACCATTGCAAGTAGGTAGAATCTACTTAGACTACCCAGGTCCAACATATGCTATTTCTTCCCTGAATTCCATTATTCCATTACACTGACCACCCCCTAACAGATTCTGTGCCATGCATTATTTTTGTTTTAGACATAACTATTATTTTCACAGCCATGCTGCAAAGAATTTGAAGGTTTTTTCTTTATACAGAATATCCAGCCTATATAGGGTTTTCAGTTTTCTATAAAGTGGAAAAAACACATTAATTCAAAGTTGACATAATACAATATTGGGGTTGCCTGATAAAATACAGGTAAATTAAATTTGAAGTTCAGATAAGTAACAAATAATATTTCAGTGTAAGTATGCACCATGCAATATTTGTTTACTTATTTGTCCATTTATGCTTTAAAACATGCTATTGGGAATTTACATTTAACCAGATGTCCTGGAAGAGTATACACCAAATTTCAAGGTTATAAAGAAGTGTTAAGGATTCCATACTATTTGACTAAGAGAACATTTTTATCTAGAGATTGAGAATTCTAAAGGAAGGTATTTCACAGGATGCAAAATAAAAGCAGCTTTTTCAACTATTTTAATCAAATGTACAGTTGATGCTATCATAACACCTAACTTTCTAATAGAAAACTGTGTAATACAACCATTTCACATATATTTTTTTCATGTGATCTCCAAAAAAAATTCCCACTATAAAATGGATGTATTTAATGTTCTTTATTTTATAAATGAGAAAATGGAACCTCAAAAGGGTTGAGGAAACTGGTCAAGAATATAATCCCTCAAGAATAAAGCAATGACAATATCCAATGTTAATTTTTCCCGGTAAATCCAATGTATTTTACTTTCATCATATTTTTTTCTATAGATAATATGTAACATGCTGGGAATTTCAGTAAGTTGTCTTTAAGGAATAAAATCTTCTAAACTATGTAAAAAATTTCTTAAAAGATTTTATCTCTTGGGCCTCCCCAGTGGCGCAGCTGTTGAGCGCTGAGTTGCAAAGCTGCCTGCAGCCTCTGCAGCGCCAGTTCGATCCCCAGCTGCTCCCCGGCCACCGGAGGAGGGTCCCACATGGCACATAAACCTCTCCTGCCGCCCACTGCTCCCCTCAGCGGTGTACTTTGGTCCTTCTGCCTGCTCTGCTCCCCGCTCTGGCTCTGGTGAATTCTCTCACCCTCCACGCTTCTGACTATACCCAGTGCTTGTACAAATAAATAAATAAATCTTTTTTTAAAAAAAAAAAAAAAGATGTTATCTCACAAGAATCATGAAGTGGCAATTGACAATTATAAGTTTTATCTTCAAAGGCCAGAGTACTTGGTAACAATAATAGAATAATTCATAGTGGTTAACAAAACATTGTAGCATTAATAGGAAAATTATTCCAAAAGTAATAAGTGAAATAAGTATTTTTCTATATTTTCTCTCATGTGCCTGAAATTCTGCCATTACAGAGATGTATAAAATTATAAAATAAAAAACACAAGTTTCCTTATTTAAGATATAACTAATTAAGAAAATATCTTCCTTAAGTAATATTGAGAATGCACTAGTGTAAAGCACTGAGGCTTGGTACATAAACATAATGACTAAGTTTCTATATGGAAGAGGAAGTACTGAACATGAATGTTAGATGCAGGCCCATAGCTTATGCCTGTATGTAACTCTAATTATATGTCATCACATTTTTATCCATTCTTTAAGGTTCACCATTATGCCTTTCCAGATGTGAGTAAAGTATCTGCAGTGAAATGTATGGTTTTTTTCCCTAATTTGCACATAGGCATACTTGAAACTCCAAAGAGATTATGAAACAAAACATAGGTCAATTACTGTTAAAAGACTGAGGAAATAGGATAGGACTCCAGCCTGAAATCTCTAGGTCACTTGATGATTAGAAATATAGTAAAGCAGAGGGATGGGAGATTATTGCAGAGTAATTTGTCAGCAAAATATTTCTGTCAAGGACTATTTATTTTTTTAAATTTATTTTTTATTTTTTTATTTTATATATTATACATCATTTTTCTTTTTTTTTTTTTTAAATATTAAATTTTATTTTTATATTCCCCCATACAATTGCAAACGCCCCATTCTGACCCCAATCCTTCCCTCCCGCCCCCCACCCCCAAAAAGTGTCTCTGGTTCATAGTTTTTTGTTGATTTTGATTTTCACTTTCTTATATTCATTTTCCTGGTCCCTTATTTAAGTTTTCTTGATTCCTGCTATGAGTGAGACCATCCGGTATTTTTCTTTTTCTTTTTGGCTTATTTCGCTGAGCATGATCCCTTCCAGCGCCATCCATGTTGCTGCAAATTGCATGTGTTTATCTTTTTTGAATGCTGAGTAATATTCCATGGTATATATGTACCACATCTTCTTGATCCAGTCATCTATTTTTGGGCATTTGGGTTGTTTCCAAAGCTTAGCTATTGTAAACAGTGCTGCTATAAACATAGGAATGCAGGTGCTCTTTGGAATTGATGTTTCTGTGTCCTTTGGGTAAATACCTAGGAGTGGAATTGCTGGATCCTATGGAAGCTCTATGTTTAGTAGGTCCAGAAATCTCCACACAGCTCTCCATAGTGATTGGACCAGTTTGCACTCCCACCAACAGTGCACAAGAGTTCCTTTTTCTCCACATCCTCGCCAACATTTGTTGTTGCTAGTTTTTTTATTTTTTTTTTTTTTTATTTTTTTTTTTTTTATAGAGGCATGCTTTATTTATTTGTTTTGCTGGTTTCTTTGTTTGTTTTGTTTATACATGCACTGGGTACAGTCAGAAGCGCGGGAGGGCGAGAGAATTCACCAGAGCCAGAGCGGGGAGCAGAGCAGGCAGAAGGACCGAAGTACACTGCTGAGGGGAGCAGCGGGCGGCAGGAGAGGTCCGCGCGCCATGTGGGACCCTCCTCCGGTGGCCGGGGAGCAGCCGGGGATCGAACCGGCGCCACAGAGGCCGCGCGCAGCCTCGCAACCCAGCGCTCAACCGCTGCGCCACCGGGGAGGCCCTGTTGCTAGTTTTTTTAATATGTGCCATTCTCACTGGTGTGAGATGGTATCTCATGGTAGTTTTGATTTGCATTTCCCTGATTACAAGTGATGTTGAACATTTTTTCATATGTCTGTTGGCCATTTGCATTTCCTCTTCAGAGAAGTTTCTTTTAGCTCTTCTGCCCATTTTTTGACTGGATTATTTTCTTTGTTGTTGCTGAGTCTCATCAGCTCTTTGCAGATTTTTTTTTTTTTTTTTTTTTTTTTTTTTTTTTTTTTTTTTTTTAGACTTTATTTTTTTATTTTTTTTTTAAAGATTTATTTTTATTTATTTATACAAGCACTGGGTACAGTCAGAAGCGCGGGAGGGTGAGAGAATTCACCAGAGCCAGAGCGGGGAGCAGAGCAGGCAGAAGGACCGAAGCACACTGCTGAGGGGAGCAGCGGGCAGCAGGAGAGGTCTGCGCGCCATGTGGGACCCTCCTCCGGTGGCTGGGGAGCAGCCGGGGATCGAACCGGTGCTGCAGAGGCCGCGGGCAGCTTCGCAACCCAGCGCTCAACCACTGCGCCACCAGGGAGGCCCTCTTTGCAGATTTTTGTGATCAGTCCTTTATCATTAGTGTTGGGTGCAAAAATGTTCTCCCAGTTGGTGGGGTTTCTCTTTGTTTTTGTTATTGTCTCTTTTGCTGTGCAGAAGCTCTTTAATTTGATGTAGTCCCAGCTGTTTATCTTTCTCTTCACTATCACTGCTTTGGGTGATGTGTCTGTAAAGATGTCTTTGCTGTGCAAATCCCGTAGTGTTTCGCCTATATTTCCTTCTATGTATTTTATGGTTTCAGGTCTTATGTCTAGTTCTTTAATCCATTTTGAGTTGATTTTTGTGTATGGTGTGAGGTAGTGGTCAAGCTTCATTCTTTTGCATGTAGCGACCCATTTTTCCCAGCACCATTTATTGAACAAACTTTCTTTGCTCCAATGCATAGTCTTTGCTCCTTTGTCAAAGATTAGTTGACCATAAATCTGTGGGTTTATTTCTGGATTTTCTATTCGATTCCATTGGTCTGTATGTCTGTTCTTGTTCCAATACCATGCAGTTTTGATGATTATGGCTTTGTAGTATAGTTTGAAGTCTGGGAGTGTGATGCCTCCATTTCCTTCTTTTTTTTTCAGTAGAGCTTTGGCTATTCGGGGTTTTTGGTGATTCCATATGAATTTCATCAATAATTGTTCTATTTCTTTGAAGAATGCCATTGAGATTTTGATTGGAATAGCATTGAATCTGTATATTGCTTTTGGTAGGATGGCCATTTTAATAATGTTTATTCTTCCAATCCATGAGCAGGGGATGTCTTTCTATTTCTTTGTGTCTTCTTCTATTTCTTTTAACAGAGTTTTATAGTTTTCTTTGTATAGGTCCTTTACCTCTTTTGTTAGATTTATTCCCAAATATTTGATTTTTTTTTGTTTCGATAATAAAAGGGGTGGTTTTTTTGATTTCTTCTTCTTCAGATTTATTGTTTGTGTATAGGAAGGCTACTGACTTTTGCGTGTTGATTTTGTATCCTGCCACTTTACTGAATTGATTGATGAGTTGAATTAGTTTTTCTGTGGAGATTTTGGGGTTCTCTATGTATATTATCATATCATCTGCAAATAGTGATAGTTTGACTTCTTCTTTTCCTATTTGGATTCCTTGGATGTCTTTCTCTTGTCTTATTGCCCTGGCTAGGACTTCCAGTATTATATTGAAAAGCAATGGTGAGAGTGGACATCCTTGTCTTGTTCCAGATCTTAATGGAATTGCTTTCAGCTTTTCACCATTGAGAATGATACTGGCTGTTGGCTTGTCATAGATGGCCTTTATGATGTTGAGGTATGTTCCTTGTATCCCAAGAATTTCAAGGGCTTTTATCATGAATGGGTGTTGCACTTTGTCGAAAGCTTTCTCAGCATCTATTGATATTATCATATGGTTTTTATATTTCTTTTTGTTGATGTGTTGGATAACGTTGATTGATTTTCGGATGTTAAACCATCCTTGTGCCCCTGGAATGAATCCAACTTGGTCATGGTGAATTATCTTATGGATACATTGTTGGATTCTGATAGCTAAAATTTTATTGAGGATTTTTGCATCAGTGTTCATTAGGGAGATTGGCCTATAGTTTTCCTTTTTTGTGTTGTCCTTATTCGGTTTTGGTATTAGTGTAATATTGGCTTCATAGAACGTGTTTGGTATTGTCCCTTCCTTCTCAATTTTTTGGAAGAGTTTGTGAAGGATAGGCACTAATTCGTCTCTGAATGTTTGGTAGAATTCATTTGTAAATCCATCAGGTCCTGGGCTTTTGTTTTTGGGGAGGTTTTTAATTACCATTTCAATTTCGCTGCTTGTAATTGGTCTGTTTAGGTGTTCTATTTCTTCTTTATCTAGCTTTGGGTGATTGTAGAGTTGTAGGAATTTGTCCATCTCCTCTAGATTGTTGAACTTGTTTCCATATAACTGTTCATAGTAGTTACTGATTATTCTTTTGATTTCTGCTGTGTCCGTTGTGATTTCTCCTCTTTCATTGATGATTCTGTGTATTTGTGCTTTCTCCCTTTTTTCCTTTGTGAGCCTGGCTAGGGGTTTGTCTATTTTATTTATTTTTTCAAAGAACCAGCTCTTGGTTTCATTGATCTTTTGGATTGTTTTTTTAGTTTCAATTTCATTTATTTCTGCTTTGGTTTTTATTATTTCTTTTCTTCTACTGGTTCTGGGGTTTTTTTGTTGTTCTTTTTCTAGATCTTTGAGCTTCGAGATTAGGTTGTTTCTTTGCGTCTTTCTTGTTCTTGATGTGAGCTTCTATTGCTATATTATTTTCCTCTTATTACTGCTTTTGCTTTAGGATATTTTAGGATGTTGGTGTCTCCTTGTCATTCAATTCAAAGAATTTTTAATTTCTTCTTTGATCTCCTCGTTAGTCCAGTGGTCTTCCAGTAGTGTGGCTTTTAATCTCCATGAGGTAGGATAGTTCCTTGCCTTCTTTTTATGATTTATTTCTAGTTTGATGCCTTCGTGGTCAGAAAAGATGGTTGGTATGATTTCAATCTTGGTGTATCTGTTGATGTTTGTCTTGTGCCCCAGTATGTGATCGATCCTGGAGAATGATCCGTGTGCGCTTGAGAAAAATGTGTATTCCGTTTTTTTTGGGTTTAGTGTTCTATAGATGTCTGTTAAGCCCAAATGCTCTAGGTCCTTATTTAGAGCTTTAGTTTCTTTACTTATTTTTTGTCTTGTTGATCTATCCATTGTTGATAGTGGTGTGTTGAAGTCTCCCACTACATATGTGTTTTCTCTGATGTCTGTTTTCAGAGAGGACAACAGTTGTCTGATATATTTTGGTGCTCTTTCGTTTGGTGAGTATATGTTAATGAGTGTTATTTCTTCTTGAAGTATTGTCCCCTTAATCATAATGTAGTGACCATTGGGGTCTCTTTTTATTTTTTGAGTTTGAAGTCTGTTTTATCTGATATAAGTATAGCTGTTCCTGCTTTCTTTTTTGGCCCATTTGCTTGTAGGATTGTTTTCCATCCTTTGACTTTGAGCCTATTTTTATCTTTTGTAGCTAAATGTGTTTCCTGGAGACAGCAAAAGGTTGGGTTTTGTTTCTTAATCCAGGCTGCAACTCTGTGTCTTTTTATTGAAGAGTTTAGTCCATTTACATTTAGAGTTAATATTGATATGTTAGCATCTGTATTTGCCATTATGTTTGTCTTTCCTTTGATTTTATTTATTTATTCTTTTAATAACTTTTTTTTTTTTTTTGGTCTTCTTTCGTTGTTATTCGTCCCTCTGAGGTTCTGGCTTTAGGATTCCTTGTAGTATTTTTTGGAGTGGGGGTTTAGTCGCAATGAAATTCCGGAGTTTCTCTTTGTCTGGGAAGGTCCATATTCTTTCTTCATGGAGGAAAGAGAGCTTTGCGGGATAGAGTATTCTTGGTTGGCATCTGTTTTCTTGGAGTCTGTTGACTATGTCCCTCCACTCTCTCCTTGCCCGTAGTGTTTCTTCAGAGAAGTCTGATGTCAGCCTGATTGGTTTTCCTTTGAATGTTATCTGTTTCTTCCCTCTTGTCAGCTTCATTATTTTTTCCTTGTCCTGGATTCTTGGGAGCTTTACTATTATGTGTCTTGCTGTGTTTTTTTTTCCTTCGTCGTGGAAGTTTGGTGTTCTTCTTGCTTCTTGTATATCAATTTTCAGCTCCTTCTTCTCATTTGGGAAGTTCTCTTCAATTATATCCATGAATATTTTCTCTGTTCCTACATCTCTCTCCTCTCCTTCTGGAATTCCTATAACTCTTATATTTCCTTTCCTCATGGAGTCAGATAGTTCCCGAAGTCTTTCTTCATTCTTTTTCCTTCGTACTTCTCTTTCCTTTTCTGTTTTGGTTCTTTTTATTTCTGTGTCTTCAAGATTACTTATTCGTTCTTCCATTTCATCTATTCTGCTTTCATTGCTTTTCCCAGAGTTCTTTAGTTCCTCCATTAATTCTTTGATCTCCTGCATTTCTCTTACTTCCCTCTTTAGGGACTCAATTTCCTTCTTCTGATCTATCACTTTTTTAATCATGGCAATTTTAAATTCTCTTTCTGGAAGGCTCAGAAGTTCTTCCAAGTTGCTGTCGTTGCAATCTGGGGAGTGGTTTTCTTTTTGTGGTGTGCTTCTTTCCTGAGGAGTTGTTAGGTTGCGTGTGGTTCTTCTACTCCCTACTGTCTGTTTTCTAATTTGTCGTATGCGTTGGGACACTGTGTTGCTCGGACTGACTGACATCTTGGGTGAACTTCTCCGCTCCCCTCTGGCTCTTCCAGGAGCCATCTCTGTCTTCTGGGGGAGCTTTCTGCTGGTTTTAGGCAGTTTTTACTGAAGAAATGTCCCTGTTCTCAAATGGCGAAGCGGGATGCAGTCCCTGCGCCTCCGGTTTCAGGCACACTCTTCTGCGCACCCGGTCTGCCCCGGACGTGGGTGCCTGCTCCCTCTGTGGGCTCAGACTGCTGGTCGGAAGGGGCCTGGCGTGGAATAACTTCCCGGCTGGCCACTGGGTCCTCCAGAAACCTTCTGCCCTTTTCAAGCAGTCTTAAGAAATGTCCGGCAGCCCGGGCTGTGTGCGCGTCTCCCGGGGTCTTTGTTCTTCTCTAATGGCGCCCGGAGCTGTTCGCTCACCGCCGCGGCGGATCCTGCAGGGTTCGCCTCAGCTCCCGTTCATGGGTGTGGTGGCTGCAATAGTCCCTTTCCACTCACAGTCCCGCTTGCTGCTTCGTTTGTTCTTGTGGGCCGTTTTGGTTTGTTGTTTCCTCCTCTCTGCCGGTCGGAGAGTGCCACCTCTCCATTTTTCATTTTTGTACAGTGCAAGGACTGTTAAAATGCTGGACATTCATTTCTGAAAATTTGTTCATGTAGCTTTTACAGTTAATGTTATTTTACTCGTTTAAATTTCTTAGAGGTGCCTCCCTGGTGGCCTAGGGGTTAAGTCTCAGTGCTATCACCACTAAAGCCTGAGCTTGATCCCCAGCCTGGGAGCTAACCTACATATGCCACAGCAGACCTCCTCTATCTCACCTGCTGCTCCCCTCAGCAGTGTATTTCAGTAAATCCACCTATTCTGTTCCCCACTCTGTCTCTGGTGAATCCTCTCACTCCCCCCCCCCCGCACCTCTGGTCTACACCCCAGTTCTCTGCAAAAAAAGAATAAAAATAAAAATAAATTTCCTAGAATCTTCTAGCAGAATTCAACAAATATTCTCAGGCTGAACCACTTAAAGAGTCTTGTCTTACCTGAGTGGTGTTGGTGAGAGTTCATTTATGAAGGCTAAAATTATCATGTTGAAGGTTGAAAAGGATGATTTCCCCAGGAGAAAAATAATAAGGCGCAAAATGGGCATCTCTGTCGATAACATTTTAAGAGCAAAAATTGCGATTAAGTCAAAATTCATTCATTCATTCATTCATTTTACAAATATTTCCTAATAATTTATCATTGGGAAATTATCTGGAATAAAATTTTGCTTAAGTCGAGGTTAAAACCAAAAGCGATATTAACTCTTACAATAGAGGGAATATAATTTAAATCATTATTAGGATTATAAATAAATAAATAAATAAAACCAAGAAACTAAAAAGGGGTATGGAAAACATGAAAAACAAAACAAAACAACAAAAAGCAATTCCAGAGTTTACAAATGCTACAGCGCATACACTGAAAAGACCATGGGAGGAGGTGAGATTATCATTAACAGGAACAAAGGCAACAGAGTAGAAACTGGAAACCAAAGGGTTTGTTCTATGAAATCAAGAGTTACAGAAGAGCCACTCTGCTGTCTGAGAGTCAGTGGTCCCGTACAAACACACCCAAGTCAAAGAAGACAGGAGTACTTTGACTTTCATGTACTTCTTGCTCAGCAAGTTCAAGACTGGCTTCCATTGGTCAAGTTAGTTGAAAGAGGTGCTGAAGAGATTAAGAGCTAGGAATGCAGAGATTAGGCTCATGTTGACAGCAACACAAAGGAAGGGTAGGTAATGTACATAAAGACAAGAAATGTTCAGAACCTTCTTATAAGGAAAGCAGAGACTAAAGTCACCAGAGAAAATGAGCAGGGCTGACAATCAATTTATGTAAAGATATTTAACCATAATGCACATGAGTTAAATGTACAATTAAAATTGGAAATTCACCAACATAGCTAATAATTTGTAAGGATTGACAATACCAAGGTTTGGCAATAGTAGCCAGGGCTGGTCCATTACCCAAAGATAATGTTACTCTAATTAGTACAAATTCTTTCCAAAGTACCTACAGACACTAAACATGAACTCCCTGTGGTCCAGGAGCCTCTGTTCATGACAGTAACTTCCAAAATGAAGACAGATATGCCAAAGTATGTGCACAAGAATGTTTCTTCCAGCTGTTATTTACAAAACTGGAAATTACACAAACAGTCCACCTTCATTGGGTTATATCAATAAATCATAGCATGGCTTAAAAAATACAATCAAGTTATGAAAATTTAAAAAATGCTGCTAAAAGGAAATGAATTCATAATGCTTGAATCCAGTTTATGGACTGGCTAGTTAAATCAATATTTTAGACATTATGAACGTGACTACTTTTAGAAAATTGATGGGTAGCAACTGTAAGAGCAAATTATTAGAAGAGTAAGAATATAAATATAGGGGATCAGGCTTATGCCTGACACAGTGAGCCTAAAAAATATTAAAGACAAAGAGAAGCTCTTAAATCAACTGCAGGGAAAAGAAGAAACACAGACAAAGGAAAACTAATCAGGCTAGTGGCAAACATAAAATAATAACATGTCAGAAGACATTGGAAATAAACCAAGATAATGAGAAATAATAATTACCGGTCTTTAATTATATTTACTGCCAAGTTATCTACTAAAAAGAGATTTATATTCACATAAACCAAAATTTAGAAACTTTAATAATAATAGACCTTCATTACAAAAGAGCAAAAGATTTTTTTTTTAAGATTCAAGGAGAACAGGAGCAAAGAACAAATAACATTTAGCAAATTTAAAGCAAATGCAGATTGGGTAAAAGAACATCATTATAGGAATATCTAAATTATAGGGTTTAATAGAAAAGAAATCAACAGCTACATATAAGCAAGAACTCTTGAGTGGTGCAATTGCATTAAATTATCTTAGGCCTTATATTACTATGTATTTGAAGAATAAAGTGAATGATGTGTGCTTGATAAAATTTCAGGAGTAACATCTAAAATAAAAATTTTTAACTACAGGATACAATTAAAAATTCACTAAAAATAGAAGTGGAATACCACTATATAAGCAAATAAATATAAAATCATTGATGTGAAAAAAATAAAAAGTCCTAATACTGCTAATTGTCATACTTTAAATAGATAAAATTCAAGAAAGACAGATCATCAGATTTACAAAACATTTTCAGCTATAAGCTATTAATGTACCCAGCTAAAATGAAAAGATTTTAAAAGTTTGACTATAAAGAACTAGAAATGTAATTGACAAATGCCGGTTAAAAGGGAAATGAACCCCTTTCTCTTTCCAGTTCCCATTCCAAAGAAGGCACATATATAACATATCACCTATTAAATTTGACCTACATTTGACCTACAAGGTACCAAGATTTTAAAACTAGACTCCAGTGCTCTTTTTGGTGTGAGCTGAGTCTGAATTCTATTCTAAAAAAAATTTGGGAAATTCCTATTTATAAAGAACACATTCCTTTTAAGAATCTTAACAATGAAAAAATCTCACCTTTGGACACAAACACACTGGCTATAAGGATGCTTCCAGACAGAAGGAGGAAAAGCGCTAATGAAGGACGACGCTTGATACGTCTTAGTATATAAAATGTAAGGCATTTGTTGGGCAGGTCTACTGCTCCTAGTAGAAACTGCGTCAGAAACATATCCATCCCCAAATTCTGAACATCCAGCAGGAGGCCGTAATTGCCCAAAAAGGTTGAAAATCTGTAAGAGAAAGTTCATAGAGAGGCCAGGCATTCAATAAACTCAGTGATGAAATGTTTTAGTGTGTGTTGTGTGTCGTGTGTGTGTGTGTGTGTGTGTAAATATGTAGATGAATTTAGGGTCTTTGGTTCCTTCAAACATAAAATTAAAATCAATATATTTCAAGTATGAAATAGAGACATTTAAGATACAAACAACACTAGTGGGAAATATATGAATATAGGAGTGATGACAAAGTATCAATAAATTCAGCTAGGGGTTAAATTACTAAAACCAATATGCATCTGGTCTACTGATGTAACTGAGGTTAAATTTTGTATATGAGCATTTCATGAGCCTTGGTAAAGACTGAGATCATTTTATTCTCAAAAGCAGCAGGACAGATGCTTTATTGCATAACTTCATAGACAATTGCCTAGATTTTTACATACCTTGAAAATATTGACTTACAGCATTGATGAAAATTTTATTTTTAATTTTTAAAATCACATAAAAATAAGTCCTCTGTATTGTGGGTAATTTTTTCTTTTGAAACTTTGACAATGAAAATCAGTATAACAGACTGATACACATGAGCACTATCTGTGTAAGCAGATATATGACTTCAAAATTAATATTAAAGTTATATTCTATAACAACAAGGTTTTTATGGTAAAAATTTTTTAATTCATGTTTATAAATTTCTCCTCAAGTATAAATTTCTCTGTTATTTTAAGTTCTTATTATGTTGCCTTACACATAGAAATATCCATTAAACCTATATGAATATTTGCAAGGCAACATAATCTATGTGTCTTTAAGAAAGTCGTGAGTTTTCCTGCTTTCATTTTCCTCATCTGCAAAACTGTACAGAAATAAAACATATCTCATATGCAGAAAATATATTTTCAATATAATTGTTTTATATATATTTATAGATCCTCTCCAATGCACCTAGTACTTAATACACATTTTCTCATGTAATCATTCAGTCTTTGTCAAATTCAAAAATAAATTTTTATGTATTTGAGCCCAAATATTATGCTTTTAAATTTCAGGCTACATTGTCTTCAAATTTAAAAGAATTGATCAATTTGTCAGTAAACCAGTTTTCTCTTCCACACTATTTAGTGGATTCTTGTTGTGGTCTGATCTGCTCTTTCATTTTGTTATTTCCCTCATTCAGTGCCTATATGTCAAGGTCTTTTCAATAAAAGGAAGATATCAGGCATTCCCCCAAAGGCTTACCTTGGCCCTGGAACTGCTGAATGTGTGTTAGAAGATGAAAGCAAGCTACTTACAGTAAAAAGGACAAGCAAAACATTGTCCTGTATATCACAGGATTAGTAATGACATCCTTTATTCTAATACGGTTTTTGATTGTTTTCAGTTCTTCCTTCATTGCAGATGTCAAAATCTTAAAAAGTAAAGCAAAAATGCTAAAAATATCTATACTTAACAAAAAGGACCTTTATTTCCCAAAATATTTCTTACCTGCCACCAGTCTACTATAGGACCAAACCCCAAAGACGAGGATTCTCTTTACCCCAAACCAGAGATCTTGAGCCTGAGCCTTCACCCCTCCCCCACTCTCAAACCAAGCCTTGGGGCCACACAGAAGTGGGAGCTGCAGCTCATTGGTGGTGGTGAGGAATGTGACCAAGATATGCTAATTGCTTTTCCCTTACCTCAGCTGTCAGACTTTGTGCAACATCTTTTTTTCCATTGATAAAGGCAATTCTGCGGAGTTCTTTTAACGCCTGTTCTGTTTTTCCAGTTAAAATGAGCCAGGGGACAGACTCTGAGATCCAACTGTTTGAAAGGAGACAGATGTGTTTTTTGTAGGGAGATGTCATGGAAAGTAATAATCTTTGTAACAGATATAATCCCTTCTATTTAGAAAGAGCACTCGGGTTAAATCAATCCTCTACTTACTCTTCGACCCCACTGCCATACCCTTTTTTTAACTATGCTCTATAAAACCAAAAAAAAAAAAAAAAAATATGATTATGATTTCTGATTAAGGAATAAAGAGTCCCTGACTCAAAAATTAAATGTTTTTCTCCTCCTCCTCCACTATCTTCTTTTAGAAATTATTGTTATTTCTATATGTGTCTCTAATTTGGGATTTATAATTGTTAAGAGTAAATCTTTGTATGGAACTTTTAAATATTAGCAAAATTTTAATTAACTTTATGTAACACCCAGTATATTATACCTGAGAACATTTAATGAAAGTTGCCTAACATATCAAAAAAATTAGCAACAACAAATGTTGGCGAGGTTGTGGTGAAAAAGGAACTGTCTTACATTGCTGGTGGGAGTTCAAACCGGTCCAATCATTATGGAAAGCTGTCTGGAGTTTCCTCAGTCTACTAAAAATGGACCTACCATACGACCCAGCAATTCCACTCCTAGGGATCTACCCAAAGGACACAAAAACATTGATTCAAAAGAACACCTGTACCCCTATGTTTATTGCCAGCACTATTTACAATAGGTAAAACCTGGAAACAACCCAAATGCTCAAAAATAGATGACTAGAAACCAGGGAACTCTAAAAAAAATTAAAAAAATCAATCAATCTGCAAATAAATAAATAAATAAATAAAAAACTGCCTAAATATATAAATAAGTGTTTTGGGACCAGTTGTTTTGTTTGTTTGTTTTCTCTCCCTAAATAGGAATCACAGAAGAAAACATCTTAAATCAACACTTTGCTATTGGGTCTCATTAAGAGTCAAACTGCAGAACTATCTCAGCAACTAAGAGGGGGGTAAAGTTACTGTGAAAAATTTAAGCCACCAATTCATTAAATTTTATAAATTTATTAAAAAGCTCATCCTTCCTAGAACATTTTTTTCTTCAGATGTTTAATAGTCTCCCTCACTATTATACTTAGAAATGTCCCTACAGGCAAGAACCAATGACAAAACATTCCTCAATAGAGAAAGATTTGCTATATCATAATCATTAGGGTAAAATGATTCAAGACTATAAAGAACTCCACATACCAGAAAAAGAAAAACAAAATAATGTAGGGCACAGTAATGACTAATTGTAGCATGTGCCAATCTCGGAAAATATAAGCCAATCCACCAAGTAATGCCTGCCCAACATTCACAGATAGTCCAAAGGCCGTCACGATTTTGGGCTGCCATTTTAATGAGGTTCCTTCTAAAACTAAGGAAAATTCAAGATATTCAACACCATTTAAGAGAGATGTCTTGAACAATGTAATACAAAATATGAGTACAGATTGAGTTGAACTTACGAAGTACCAAGATGTTGATCTGAACTGTGCCCAGGCAGGCACACAACAGGAATTTCAAAATACAGAAAATGGAGAAGACAGGGGTAAAAGCACAGCCGATGCCCAGGATTCCACAGGCCAGACAACAAAAGAGTAATAGTGGCTTCCGTCCAAATCTATGGTAAGAGCAGTTAACTTAGTTTAAAAAAAAAAAAAAAAAGGTATCTATATGTCACTAGAAATTCCAGAACATCCAAAACTCAGAGTTCAAATATACATAGACCAGTCACTCACGTAGGGTGACATTAGAAATAGCCATTGACCCAAGATGTTTCTACTTAAATATAGGAGTAGAAGCATCACTCCACACCTCTAAATACAGAATTCATACTATATGATTGTAAGACAAAGTTAATGGTAAATTTTTATTTATTTATTTCTTTATTTTAGATTAATTTATTTATTTATACAAACATTGGGTACAGTCAGAAGCGCAGGAGGGTGAGAGAATTCACCAGAGCCAGAGCGGGGAGCAGAGCAGGCAGAAGGACCGAAGTACACTGCTGAGGGGAGCAGCGGGCCGCAGGAGAGGTCTGCGCGCCATGCGGGACCCTCCTCTGGTGGCCGGGGAGCAGCCGGGGATTGAACCGGCGCCGCAGAGGCTGCAATCCAGCGCTCAACCACTGCGCCACCAGGGAGGCCCAATGGTAAATTTTTTAAGGCAGAAAACACAAAGATATAGGTGATACCACATGATATTCCATTCAATCTAAGACAAAGCATTAAATGTCACAGAGTAATCCACCATGGTCTATGTCCAAAAGAACTTTCTTTATCTAGATTCTAGTTTTAAAATCTATTTTTTTAAGAGCAAGGTACAAAATTTCAACTTACTGTTTCATCTGATTCCCAGCTCAAATATATAGGGAACTGACTTTAGGAAAGAAGGGAAAGACTGTTCAGTCCTTTCAGAAAACAAAATGTTCATTTCCAAAGAGTGAATTCAGAGGAATCTTTTACAGAAAATTAACCAAATACAATTTTAGACATATAAGATTTTTAGGACTTTATTCTTCAATGAGAGATCACTTTGGTATTGCCTGTCCCCCGGGCAGCAATATCCCCAGACATGATACCATAAGCAAGTAATCTTCCGCAGCTATGAATGATCTCCTTCTCCAGCTGCTAATATGTTTATTCTATGTTTTGCCATTAATAAAAACAATAGCAGTATAATTTGTTTGGAACCCTTACTAAACAAAGGCTCTGCCCTAACTTCTTATGTGCAATTTATATAAAGGGTAAGGAAGTTATGAATAGTTGAAGTTTATTATCTCCATTTTACAAGTGAAAATAATCAGATGTTGGAAGTGTATGAAGCTGAGTCTCGGCTTCCAGCTGTGCCGAATGGCAAGTCCCCAACATTTTTGCATTTATAAAACCAAGGAGTATCACTGAATTCTTTATGGATTTGTTATTTTGTCCATCTTAAGATCTTAAAGGTTTTCTTTAAATGTCAAGAGCCATGTAAATAATTATCTGTCTGCCTGTTTGCCTATTTTTGACCATTTCTCAGATTCTATTTTTCTGGCCTCTTGCCATTAAAGTCAGTGTCATCCAAGTTTCAATGTGGTTCATATGCACTGGATATTTTCATCCTTGTCAATATCATACTAACCTTTTTATTTAAATCTACTTTATTCTTAATCTGGAGCTTTTCTCAGCTCTCTCTCTCTCTAGTCTTTGTGGAGAATTTCTCTTCCAGAGGCTTTACAATACTTAGCTCCTTAACTTCACCTCTCACGATCACTTTTTATAAACATATTCCCCAATCACATTTGCTATTCAAATGTGTTCTTAAACACTTTACTCTTCCTACTTTCGTTTTTACATCTGCTGTCCTATCTGGAAATTCTAAATTCTTTACAGGTCAATTTAAGTTTAAGTCCTCTTGGAAACTTGCTCTATTGACTACAGTCTTCAAAATGTCCTCATTTCCTTGAACCACGTCTGCCAGCATTTGACTTCTGCCCGTTGCATATTTAGGTTGTCTTTAATATGCATAATTTCCTATGCAAATATCTCCACATTCTTTGATATTCACTTAGGTTTACAGATAGCCCCTGTTCAGAAGGTAAAACTTACCTGTCAGAAAGGACACCACAAAGAAGAACACCTACAAGAAACCCTGTCATGAAGATGGACTGAACAATGAGTTTCAGTGACTTCAAATCACACACTAAGTCCCACTGAAAAAGAATGAATAGAAAGCAGAGCTTAATCACTTAAAAAGAGATAAATATAACTAGCTACTAGACTGATTTACATAATGAGAAGGAATATAAAAATCACTTTTTCATATAGACTATGCCATCATACTAAAATGTGGGAATACATATTGGTCAAGACTATACATAATATCCACGTTACAATAAAAATTGAAATCTCAATGAGAAAAAAACAAAAAAGTAATTTGAGTCTATCAAGATAATAATTTGAATGAATATGAAGTTTATTGTCCTTTTATTTCACTATACAGGTTACTCTTCCCTGACCATTCAGTCAGTAGCAAAAATTTTCTTCTTTAATGCCATGAGATTTGATTCAGTATTCTGAACATATTAAAAAAGGTCTAATTTGGAATGAAATAATTCTTGATAATACAACCAGGTACAGATGGGTTTTCATTTTTTTTTTTAATTGAAGAGAACTAAAGTACTCAGTGAAAAAACTCAGCATAGAACACATAACCTTCAGGAGACCCTGTAGAGAAGATACATATAAGAAGATATATGTATTTTTATTTTTTGCATATAAGAACTGGTACAGCCAGAGGTTCTGGGGGGAGGGAGGGGTGACAGGATTCACCAGAGACAGAGTGGGGAACAGAACAGTTGGATCTACCAAAATACTCTTTTAAGGGGAGCAGGGGACAAGACAGGAGATGTCTGCTCCACATACGTGGGTTAGCTCCTGGCTGGGGTTTGAACTCAGGTCCTATCAGTGATAGTGCTGAGAACTTAACCCCTAAGCCACCAGGAGACCCTGTAGAGAAAATTTAATAATGGTTTCCTTACAGAAGTTTCTTTATAAAGTAAAACTTATGGGCTGGGTTGGAGATAAGTAGAAATATTGGAGAAAATTACTTAGATAAATTGCATTTCCAACAAGGCTTTTACAACCCTCTCTGTCCCAAGCTGAGCTCCATGTTGGATATGGCTGGTGATAGTGAATGCAGAGAAAGTCTAAAACAAGCCCAGGAGTAGAACAAGATCTCATAAAGACTATATGCTCCAGTTGTCCTTAAACAGGAAATGAACCAATTGACAGGATTATTTTGAAAGTTTCTTTGCACATTTTCTTCTAAAATATTGTATGTCCTATACACACTTAAAACCAAATTTTAAAGCTTATGCAAAATTATACACAAATACAAAATTAATATAAAACATGTTAAGAGTTGAAACCCAAGCCTACCAATCACTTTACCATAATATTTTTAAGAAAATGTCTGAAAACTCATCGCAAAAATTTTATAAAAAGTTTAAAACAGGACCCCCCTGGTGAGCAGGGGTTAAGTCTCAGCACTATCAAACTGTCACCAGCCACTGCTGCATGGGTTCAATATCTATCCAGGGAGCTAAACCACATGGTGCAACAGACCTCTCTGTCTGTCCTGCTGCTCTGCTCAGCAGTTTATTTCAGTGGATCCACTTTTTCTGCTCCCCAAAACTTTTCTGTAGATGCATTAGGAATGTCTCTTCCTTTTTTGAATTAACATTTTATAATAATTAAATTCCACATAGGAGGAATTTATTGGTGCATTTTTGGTGTATTTTGGTGTATTTTTGGTGTATTTATTGGTGTATTTTTAAGATAATACAGAAATAATACAGAAATGAATAATATGAATAATACAGAAATGAAATACAGACATGAATGTATGCCAGCTATAGTTCTAATTAATTATGCATCTATAAAGGAGGGACTTAGCTTCTCTTAATCTCAGCTTTCCCTTTTCCACCTTTCTTGAAGATATACTTCATTATAGCTGGCATAATTTATAATACTTAACATGGCCTGGCATAGGACCAAAACCCTAAAGCTAACTTTTACTGAACTCTTCTATATGATAAAAATTTTCAAGTATTTTATACATGTTGTTCATTCAATCTTTATTCCATTGGGTACATTATAGGTGTTCTTAATAATTATGCTAGAATACACTGAAATTGCCCTAGGAAATCAAGGTATAAGGTAAGTTTACCTTAAAAATTAATAAACTAAGGCATAAAGTTACTAAGCTGTGAGTGACACTTAATATCTTAACCAAAACATTATGAGACATCATTCTTAATCATGTCAAACACATTCAATTAAAAGTTTTACAGGAGATTGTTCCCATTCTCTTTTTAAATAGATGAAAATGGAGTTCCATAAAGTATAAGTCAAAAAAATAAGGATATAGTTCTTGACTTTGAGCCCATATCTATCTGTAGATATAGATCTATATAGAGATATATATATCTAGAGTCTAAATTATTTTGCATTATTAGAGCATGTATCAATGTGTTTTGGGTAACACATTGTATTTGGATTTATTATAAGTGACAATGACAGAATTAAATAAATGAAGAGATAGCTAGAGCAATCTAGAGGAGAGAAGGTGGGATGCATGACAGATATTAAAGTAATTCATGACATTTTAAATTTTATATAGCTCTATCTATCATATCTCTTTACAAACAATAATGAAAGCTAAAACCCTACCATGAGACCAGAATTTCATATATTCAAAAATTCTATTCAAATGCTATATTACATTATTTTTCCCTAGAATTTTCTTCCATTTATTTTTTTTATTTAGCTTGGAATATTTTATGCAGTGAAAATGGGGCCTTGCATCTCACGAAAGCACATCACAGATCAATGCTCAGTTAATCGATTACCTCAGTAATGATGGAGGAAGTGAAAACACTCTGGTCATAAACCCACCCATCCAGGCAGGTCTCTGTCTCCAGCTTAGCGTCACTCATCACTGACACATTGGCATCTAGGAGCTCCCAGTGTGTCTGGCGGAACCGACGGCACTGTTCTGGCTTCTGGTTTGGGTCCATTGGAATGGAGACCCTCAGCAGGGCTTCCGCTGACAGGTTCATTGCGATGCTGGCTTTAAAGGTGGAGTTGTCAATGAGCTGGACATAGCAGCGGTGAGCAGGAATGGCTGCTGAAAAGTTCTCAATGAGCTCATTAGAGGGTGTCAAGAGATTTACCAATACACAGAGGACAATATTCAAAATCTGAAACCTCCCACAGTCACCTACATGTTGCAGGAGTTCACTAAATGCCATGCTTAGGGTGGAGTATCTGTTGTAGAATAAAGTTCTCTAAAAGAGAAATGGCAACTTACAAAAATCTTCATCAACTGGTTAAGAGGAAGTGTTCCTAAATTATATGGTAGAAAGAAAAAATAGAAGCATTTAGGCATTGCTATTAAATAGCAAAGTAAACATTCCCTATCTTCCTAATAAAGTTCACTTCAAGAGGACAATATGATCCATTTCATAATTACAGACATTTTATAGAAGAAATGTCCCAAAGGCAGACATTCTAACTGAATTGATGCCACTGCTAATAATCACAGTTAATCTTCAGTGCAATATATTATTTGTTACTACATGTTGCAGGACAGCCCCAAGGACATGGTTTAGGTGAAAATATTTATTCCTACTCTCTTGAAACTACATATACATACATTTTCATATGTGCAATATATATACATACATATAGTGTTTATAATACAGAAATTATATAAATACAATCACACACAAAAATTAACAATTACCTATTCTAAGATGACTAAAAATATAGACATATATGAATGCCCAGAACAGTATAGAGATCTAGTTAATTCAGCAGTGGAAGGAAGTAGCCTCTTGTAGACCCACATTGAAGTAGTAAGATCTGAAAAATAACAAAATTGTTCCAAGTGATAAATTAGAGGTGAGGAGATGCTCAGGGAGAGAGTCACAGTTTTGAGTTCATTTAGCTGAAAAAACGTAAAATGCTGCTAATGGCTGCTAATGGCCTGGGGTAACCAAGCCTTCAGCTATTGATATTAGAACCAGAGTTCTCCCATTCCTGTTCATTCCCTCTCTTAACATTCATGCCCTACCAGACCAGAGGCTCAAGTGCAACACCCAATCTCTTCTTTTATTCTCAGTGTCGAACTGTTTCTCCATGAAGGACTCAATTCAACATTCTTGTGGCAATGTCAATTTCCTTGTGCTGGTTTAATTTAGGGGGAAAAAAACAGAGACCTACCTTCATACACCTTCAGTTAAACATGCTCTCCAACTCAGGTAGAAAAGAGTATAAAGTTACAATATGTGTCTGGGCTAAAATGGGAACATCCAGTGATAGCTGATGAAGTTAATGCTTTACTCCTGGCACTGGAGTGCACCATCTGAGCATTCAAGTGATTGCAAGGAAGTTTTACTTCATTGGTTTATTAATAGTTACATTTGTAGACTATTAACTATTGATAGTTCATTAATAGTTTGAAGCTAGTTTACACCAAAAAAGAGAATATATTATGAGGTCCAGAGACTCTTGGAAGTAAAACAAAGTAGAATCCCAGTTGGCTCTCAGGAAAAGGATCAGATCAGGAAACAGAACAATAACAGATCTCTTTTCTTTCTCTTTTTTTTTTTCTGCAGATGTATACAAAATCATTCTCTGCCCCAGTCCAGACTCCATCATCTCTACTATGATAAGGTAAAATCTTCAGAGAACACTTGTCCAACTTAATGTAAGCTTAGAAAATAAGAAGTTGGGGGCCATCCCTGGTGGCGTAGTGGTTGAGTGCTGGGTTGCAAAGCTGCCTGCAGCCTCTGCAGCACCTGTTTGATCCCCAGCTGCTCCCCTGCCACCTGAGGAGGGTCCCACATGGCGTAGACCTCTCCTGCTCCCCTCAGCAGTGTACTTTGTCAGTCTGCCTGTTCTGCTCCCTGCTCTGGCTCTGGTGAATTCTCTCACCCTCCCGCGCTTCTGACTGTACCCAGTGCTTATATAAATAAATAAATAAATCTTTAAAAAAAAAAATTAAAAAAAAAAAAAGGGCCTCCCCGGTGGCACACCGGTTGAGTGCTGGGTTGCGAGACTGCCCTCAGCCTCTGCAGTGCCGGTTCAATCCCCGGCTGCCGGCGAGGGTCCCACATGGTGCGCATACCTCTCCTTGCCGCCCGCTGCTCCCCTCAGCAGTGTACTTCGTCAGTCTGCCTGTTCTGCTCCCTGCTCTGGCTCTGGTGAATTCTCTCACCCTCCTGTGCTTCTGACTGTACCCAGCGCTTGTATAAATAAATAAATCTTAAAAAAAAAAGAAAGAAAGAAAAGAAAAGAAGAAGTTGAAATTCCATTAATTTTTTTTAAAGATTTATTTATTTATTTATACAAGAACCAGGGTATAGGCCAGATGCGCAGGAGGGTGAGAGGATTCACCAGAGACAGAGTGGGGGAACAGAACAGGCAGACTGACTGAAATACACTGCTGAGGAGAGCAGCAGGTGAGACAGGAGAGGTCTGCTGCACCATGTGGGTTTCTCCCTGGCCCGCCAGGATCGAACCGGTGCTGCAGAGGCTGCGGACAGCTTCACCGTGCTGCGCTCAACCGCATGCACCACCAGGGGAGGCCCTTCCATTAAAATTTAATGATACTAATCTTTAACTAAAAAAACAGATTGGCATTTTGCCAGTTTAGGTAAATATTGAACTTGGCAAAAATGAAACACATATAATAAGTGAACTTGGAGGGTGAGTGATAGATTACATTCCAGCAGGTTGGTTCAGACATGAATGCAGGCCCAAAGCAGAGGAGGGGGAACAGCAGAGCTTTTCCTGACTATGCATGTGTCACACTTGTTAAGATCCCACAGAACAAAATAGGTCCCATGGGAAAACCTAGAAACAGGAAGCAGGGATATACTCTCTGCCTTCTTAGAAGAGGCATGTCCAAGGTCAAAGGTCTTTGGGTGATGAGTTAAACTGTTCACAGTAATTATATTAAATATGCATGCGAATCTAAATTATCCTGTCCATATTAATTTAACTGATTCCCACTTCACATTAAGTAAATTAACTCCACATTTTCAGTCATTCAAAATCCAATTAGTGGGTTATTGAAAGCAAATTTTCTTTTCCCAAAAAAGCGATAAATGGGGCCCAAAGTTGTGGGTTAAACCATTTCAACTCAACCCTCCTAAGCAAATGGGAGGCTGTCCATGCTATTTTAGTGCCCTTTTATTACTCTATTGTCCCTCAACTGGAAAGCTAAAAAACAGTGTTTAGAGAAGAATGAAATTTGAAGTCTTTGCAGTAAGCAGCTATAGCTTTTGGAGTGTACTATTCTTGCTGAGATGATTCCCTCTTCCCACCCAGTAAAGTGACAAGCATTTCTTTTCCTGAAACTAAAGGGGAAAAGTCTCAAGGAGAACAATTCCTAAAGATTTGGGTTTTTTTCCCAAATGCCCAAAAATAGATGACTGGATCAAGAAGATGTGGTACATATATTCACAATGGAATATTACTCAGCAATCAAAAAAGATAAACTCATGCCATTTGCAGCAAAATGGATGGAGCTGGAAGGGATCATGCTCAGTGAAATAAGCCAGAAGGAAAAAGAAAAGTATTGGATGGTTTCACTTATAGCAGGAATATAGGGGAACCAAATAAGACATCAGTGTAAAAAACACAGCAAAGCAAAAATAGACAATTACAAATCAGAGACATGCCACAGGGGAGGAGGAGGGAGAGGGATCAGAGGGAGGGAGGGAGCAGCACAGGGGACTGAGGTGATGGTGCACGGGTGCACTGGGGAAGGAAATTCTATGGGGACTACACCTGAGGGGGTGGGGGGAAGCAAATATTATTTAAAAGTGAACAACGATGTAAAAAATTTTTTTTTAATTTTAAACAAAGAAAAAGAGGAGTAGGAAAAAGATAAGGTTATTGCCTAACAGAGAACAAAAACACTGTTTTCAGTGCCTTAGATCAAAAATCTGATCCTGATACTAGCTATCTGACCTTGGGCAACTTCCTGCCAATTTGCTCTTCTATAACAGGAAGACGATTATGGAACTTATTTCATAAGTTTGTTAAAAGTATTGAATTGGTCGATTTACATAAAATGCTGAGAATTATGGTTGGGATAATGTAAGTCTTCAATAAATGCTACTTATTTCTATTATTGCTAAAAAAAAATTTGGGTTTTTAAAATTTAACCTAATTTTTAGTTTTTATTATTTTTTATTGCAGAAACATTGGTTTACATCACTAAGTGATTTTGGGGGATAGGGTCACCCCTCCTGTGATGTATGCTACCACACTGCACCCACCCCAAAGCACCCATAGTCCTTTAACTATAGACCTTTCAACCCTCTCTTCTTTGTACCCACCCCTATGTCTCCAGGTAGTAGCCTCAATTCTTCATTCATATTTCTAGCATTTGTTTTGGTTTAGTTTTGTCAGTTCCATTACTTGTATTTATATACAGTATATATGCAGCTTTTGTTGGTAGAATAATCAAACACCCAGTAAACACAGTTTAAAGAATATTCAAATTATTATTAATTGTCAGTTGGATGACTGCTGATTACTTAATGTTTTAGTTCTTGAAAAATAAGAGCTTTTCCTGAACCACAGATTTTGTAGATTTGGGATGAACTCACAGATAGCCTAGATTTTCAATTTACTCTTTATGGGTACCAAGGAGATTCATTAAAATACATGAGGTAAAAAGCATAACAAGCAGGAAGGTTTTGACCCCATACCATTATTTTAGCAAGTCTGCTTCTCTACTTTAATCTGTTTCATCGATATTTCCTTACAGTTTCACTTTAGGAAAGCATAGCCTACCAAAATTTTAAAGTAAGTAAAAGTCATTTTCCTTCAATTGTAAATGACATAATAGGCAGATATGTAATATTTTTCCCAATATAACATAGCCAATTACAATTAGTTACAAATTTTATCTACTTCCCTGGTGTAATATCTTCCCATGACCCCACATCACCAGTTCCATTAAGACAGCTCAGTTTTTCAAAGTAGGTAGATGCTGAATTGTGCAAAATGGCATAATGGCATAATCCCTATATTGAGCACTTGGAGATACATAGATAGCTAGATGTAGAGGGATATATAGACATATATATGCAGATATATCATATATAGAGATATGTATTTTTATATGTTGATGTAGATATATAGATGAATATAGATTTGTAAATGTATATATAAATAACTCAGACATTTAACAAGAAAGAGTTGAAATGTCTCATCAGGAACCAAACAAAAT